TACACCTTGAGGCAGCCAGCAGGGAAGGGGCTGGGGCTGCACTGCCACAACAAGGATTGGGCCCCTTGTGACTCCTCCTCTGTCTGCCCCTGGCATGCCAGTATCTTACAAGTCGAGCTTGCAGGTGTTTTTACATTCTGTCCAAAAATGCTGCCAACCCCTGAGTAGGATCTCCAAGGAAGAAGTTTGTCTAGGAGCCATGTCAGGGCTGGCTTCAGGGGATCCTTAAGGAAGGAAGCAAACAAAGCTTTGTGGGAGTCCTGACGCACAGCATCCACTGAGAGTGGCTTATCAGTGACACCTCTCACATCTGCAAGACCTGGGAGAGCATGACAGTGGTGGTACTGACCTGTCCAAAGGCACTGACCCCCTTATCTGTCCGCCCACAACGATGATAATTGGAAGTCTGCCTATTTTCTACCAACCGAGTCTTGCTTAGTGCCTCAAACAGTTTCTCTTCAATGGTATTGTTGGTGTTCTCCTGGCTGGCAAAACCCTGGTATCCCCATCCCAGATAGGCAATCTTCAGTGCCACATGTCTCTTGCCATAGGCACTAAAATCAAATGGACGCTGCTGGCGTTTCTTAGTTTTCCCAGATGCCGAAGGGCCACTTTTTATGCCATTACTCTCCTTGCCCTCTGAGAGTTTCTCTTGAAGTTTCTTCACCTCCTCTTCCAGTTCTTGCACCCTCTCCAGAAGTCCCTCTTCTTGAACTGTCTCCATACCCAATTCAGACTTAGCAAGGTCTACTGGACTATCTTGAGCTGGAGAACTTTGGTAGCCTCGCTGTGTCTGCAGAGAGAGAAGGGAATCTGAGATTACACTTACAATGAGATTTAGAATAAGCTTGCTTCTGGAGTTTTTTCACATGGAGGGAATTTACTATACATTCTATCACCAGCCTCAGTGTTTTGCATCTCTCTTGTACTGGCATAACACATAGCCTTCTGAGTTTAACTGGGACTACCTTTCCTTATTCAGCAAAAAATTATTCTTTTCAGTACTTCTAATCCCCCTACACCCGGTCTCTCTTGACCACCATTGTAGCATCAAGTCCACTGTATTAAACCAAGTTTTCAGATTACCCTTTGACATCTGTACAGTTTCTTTTGCCACGGTTCTGTACTTCCAATCCACTTGGCTGGTAATAGCACCTCAGAAAGCATGTTTATACCTCATTTGTGTGTTGTTTTTTTTTATGCTCCCCTCCTGGAGACAACTTAGGGTGGTTTATAACAAGTCATAATACCAGATCAAAATAGTAAAACATTCCACAAAGAATGCCCAAGTTTAACCCCGTATGCATTTGCTGTAACATTTTCACTTCATAATGGCTTCTTCCAGAGATGATTAAAGCTCAGACTTCCAAACCTAAGGGATATGGGGTTAAATAAAGGATTCCCCACTTAAAAACAAAAAAAAAGGAAACAGAACATCCCAGTCTCCTAGGCAACTTTGAAAATGTCAGTCTAAAATGTTCAAACTTGGATCTCTCTACGGGAAGGATTCACAACGCATGATATTCTATCACTGTTTTATCTTGGGCTAAGGTTACCTTGACCTCTATGTAACTACCCATACACATTGCACTGGACTACCCCCATTACCTGTGCTGGTAAACATCCACACCTGGCATCCAAGATTAACCACAACTTACCCTGTTCACACAAGGGGAAATTGTACAAACACTTTCACAATGGCTTTCTCTCAGTTTAGAGAGGAAAGGCGGGGATAGGGTTCTATCTTGTACTTCTCTAAGATTTAGTGGTTTGCTATGATAATCTAAGTCTATTGCTGTTGATCAGCACTGTGTATTTCAGTGTAACACCATTTTTAACAGCCAATTCAAAGGGAACGTCTTGGTAAGGGCAGCAAATAGGTTCTGTGTATATTGTACCTGGTGTATAGCACCATCTGTCGAAGAGTTGCATTGAATTACAATAAATTTAGGACTGCAGTGCTAGACCGTACTTATTTGTTAAACTGTTGACATTTAGCTGCCTGCTATTAAGTGCACTATTTTATTGTTCACTAACTACTATTTAATTACACTTAACTCTTACAGAATAAGTGACAATCAGCCCAGCCCAGGTGAAGTCATGGAAGCACTATTGGGACCAGATCAGTATAAGTGGGCCACTATGAACCATGAAGAACCCATGGCAGCAGCTGCTATGGCCTTTACCCATCTGCGTGCAGAGCAAGGTAATGGAGATAGCTTGAGAAGAACCTGGGCTCCCTCTCACTATGACCCCTACAGTAAGGCCTCTGTGAGTTCTGGGATCAAGCCATCTCTTCCTCTACTGATGCACCAGCAGACAGAACAAAGCATGCAATCGGAGAGCCTCTCTGAAGTGCCCACAGGAACTAGGAAGCCAATGATGAAACGGAAAGTTTTGAGGCGGAGGCCTAATGGAGAAGTGGAAATATCTGATGAGTCAGCCATTAGTGAACCAGAGACCAATGATGAAAGTGGCAACGAGGTCTGGGATTTGAGACGGAAACTGCTTCATCTACTTACCCATCAGGAAGACAGTGTAGCTGAGATAGAAACTGAGCCATGTAGCAGTTCCCCTGAGAAGTCTTTTCTGGATCTTCTCCATAACACACACTCTCACAGGCACATTCCCCCATTTTTCCCTAGGGATTGCCAGAGTCAGGGCTCCTCAGCTTTTGAACAGGACTTACCTGAACAACCAAAGTCCTTTATTACTCCAAGATTAGAGCAGCTAGGTCGTAATCGTGGGAAGACTGATAGAGTAGCCAGGTATTTGGAGTATAAGCGGGACTGGGAAACGTTCCGGATACCAGGGGAGGATCATAGAAAAGAACTGTGCTGGGAAATCCGGGAACAGATGCTCTACAAGCCTAACATCCCAGCTAGGTCTCAGCGCACCTATGTCCCCAACAACTATCTGGTCCCTACAGAAAAGAAGAGATCTGCCTTGCGCTGGGAGGTACGCTGTGACCTGGCAAATGGTCTCATACCCAGGAAGAGCTTCTCCTCATAGTTGGCCAGAGTTTCTTCAGCTCCATCCATAGAACTGTTCATCACTTGGCTGCTTAGAGCAGTGATATCATTAAGTTATTTGTTCTCTCTCGTAACCTCAACACTTCGTTTTAACAAGAATCTCCCTTGTGCTTCTACATAACACAAGTTTATCTTAGGCAGAGCTATTTTATACTATCTTGTTACCAAATAGGAAGACAACTGACACACATCTGACCCGGTTGGCAAGACCTGCAAAATCTCTGAGAAGAGGAGACTTGCATGTGAAGCTCTCAAAGTGAAGATGACCAATTTATAGGAATCTTGTATACTCAGGAGAGTAACCAGTACCACCAGCCTGTTTTGCCTTTATTTGCTCTTGTTCACCTGGATGAATGGTTTTATTTATCTTTTAGGTGATGCATTTCTTTATTAAAGCATGTGAAACGATGTGGTGTGGTTCCATGGATTAATTGGGAATACTCATCATTCCCCATTGTTGTAATATTTATAGTCAATCCAGTAGTACTATTGTTATCAATAAACAGGTTTTTTTTTTTTTTTTTACCCTAGCTATCTAATCCTATTCTCATAACAAGATTCAGGATATGAGAGTTAAGCAGCTTCAGTCTTTAGGATTACAGAAAGCTGTTGCCCTATGGCACAGGCAAGGGTAGTGAAGAACTTCACTAACTTATAAAGTTAGAGTCTTAGAATCTGCCTTTTGCTTTAAGTTTTGCTTATATTATAGGACTACTACTGCCATTGCTTTACTGGCAGCTAGCAGAGACACAGTGTATGGTGGCAGGTTTTCTGCTGGCTTTACTGCATCACTAACCCAAACAGAGACTCTTCTGTTGGAACAGCTGTGTCCAGATAGGTGGAGGGAGAGGGTTGTTAGCAGGATCATGTCTGCTGAGAGGTCTGATCTTTTCCCACCCATAGCTACACCAACAAAATCCCATAGTGTAGATGAAAACACTGCAAAATAATGCACTTAACTACATAAGTATTGCTGAAAGCAGACAATGAAGGGAAGTTATAGAAACAACTTGAAAAAAATTAAGCTCCCCTCCTGCTAGTTGTGCTGCATGCAACACAGATGAGCCTCTCTCTGAACTAGAACCCTGAACAAGTCTTGCAGGCAGAATCCGGATGTGCAGGCAAGTGTGGTTTGTGGTGCTGCAAACTATACAAGTTGTACCTTAGTGCTCGGCGCTGCTAGTTTGCAGCACCAGGGCAAAATTTGCTACTGGCATTTCATGGTAGAAAAAAAAAAAAAAAAATAGACCTGGAAAAAAAGCACAAAGTAGCAGGTGCCAGGCTCCACTGGAGCCTCTTCGGTGAGGCACACTGTGTCCCAGCCAGCTGTAGAGCTGGGACCACAGGGTCATACACTGGGTCATACAACAAAACATACAATCAAATCACACTCCAGTGAAAGGGTCAGGAAAGTTTAAGTGCAGTTCATGGCATTTGAAGTTATCCTACCACAAAGAACAGATTGTCTCTTCTACTTTATCCTTTCCTGCTGGCATATGTGTTTTTTTCCCCACCCCCATCTCCAGAACACCGCATGCAGCTTGGAGCCAAGCAAGCTCTCATCATTGAGCTGAGTATTGCCAAAAAGCTTAGATCAGTGTAGCCACTATATCAGGTGCCAAGAAGGGAAGGGGAGCAGGCAGCTTTGCCAGAGCCAATTCCTGGATGCTTCTAATCAAGTTGAACATCCCTTCTGATAGCAGGAATATGTTCCTAGTAGTGACAATCTTGGAACATTTCTGTCTTCTGGTCAGTCCAGCTTTCCCATCTTTAAAATAGAAAAAAAAGCTTTCCCTCCTCCCCCACTCCCCACCATTTAAAAAAAAAACAAACAAACAAAAAAAACCCCCACAACAACTGCCTGTTCAGTTTTGGAAAACTATTCTGCGATTTCAATGTGGCTCAGGAGTTATTTTCCATTTACTTCAGAGATTAGCTTATACACAGATCAGCAGCTTTCTAGAGAACAAGCTGGGTATAGCCAAATTCTGCAGTTAGCTTTAGCTTAGATGCAGCAATAACACTTACGCCAAGTTCTGCCCCCAGCTTTATTCCCTTCCATTCAAATAGGTATCCTATTGCAAAGACAGCATTACACTTGCATATAACTTTAAATTTTGAGTAAGTAACCATAATGAAAACCTGGACACATCTCAAACAGCATCAACTCTTTCACAAATCTGGGAGGTAGGACAGAAAAATAGGTATCAAGCCCGAGTCATTTTCATCAGGGAAAGTGCATATTTGCAATCTAAATGTGGGTAACAGTCAGATGCCCAGGGCTGGGACCCTCCACCCCCCAGCCCTGCTTGTGCCCCTCACTGCCCCCTGGCCCTGCAAGAGGAGCCCCCCCAGCTGCCAGGGCTATGGGGCCAGGGCCCCGGGACTGCAGCTCTGCCCCCAACAGAAGGCAATGTTACTGTTGGGGATACTGTGCTCAGATATCATACTGAGGTTGGGATAGAATCTTGCAGGTCCCCCCCCAATTGGTGGAGGGGTCCCACTTGTAGCTCACTCCTGATCAGCAGGGAAGTGAAAAATGCTGTTTTAAATACAACACCGGTTTTGCCTCCCGCTACTTATTAGCGGAGGGCCCCCAGACAGCCCTGCTGTTTGCTGCAGACTAGCGAGGAGACAAAAAA